AGAGAGAGAGAGAGAGAGAGAGAGAGAGAGAGAGAGAGAGAGAGAGAGAGAGAGAGAGGGCCACATCGTAGTCGTTGCCCCACACAGACACACACACACACACACACACACATACACACACACACAAACGAAGGATACTCGCACGAGCACGCGTGTGTGCACACATGCAAAGGATACGCACAATGTCTCTCTCTCCCTCCCACACGGGCGCACACAAAAGAGAGAGAGAGAGAGAGAGAGAGAGAGAGAGAGAGAGAGAGAGAGAGAGAGAGAGAGAGAGAGGGTGCGAATGCATATCTTTGTTTTAAAAAATATTGCACCACAACAGCTGCTGTCCCATCCAGACGTACATGGCTGGGGTGTATGTGTATGTGTATGTGTGTGCGCGAGTTGAGCCAGCTCAACAATTAAAGAATTTCACCTTTTTAGCAAGCAACGTGAATCATAATAGAAGTGTTTAGAACAATGTTTAGCTGGGGTTTCTTCGGGGCAACAACTCCTCTTTTACTATGCCTCACACGTACAAGGCTGCCCACATCGATGGTGGTTGAGCGGCAGTTGCCCACATCCCCGTGTGCCTTAACGGCCCGCTTGCACGTTATAACAAGTCGCAGGGAGAAGGTATGCTCATATGCATTTCTCTTCAGATCTCCATACTACTGTTCATTTCACTTCAGATCTTCAACTTATACTTTATGTGTGTCCTTCGTCTTCATACTTCCATTCATTTCGCTTCCGATCCTCGTACCGTCTGTTCTCTCAATGATGCTCATACCTATGTATTTGTTAGTAGCACAAAAGGGTGTGTGTGTGTAGTTGTGTAAGTGTGTGTGTGCGCGTGTGTGTGTGTGTCTGTGTGCATGTGTGTGTGTGTGCGTGTGTGTAAGCGAGTGTGTTTGTTTTCCTTTTCTTTCTTTCACTTGCAATCAATCGAACAACAGTCAATCAAACAAGGCCTTTTTCTTTTTTGACTTTCAAAAAAGTCATGAAAAACAAAAAAAGCAGGGATGTGGGCCAAGACCTGTCTCTTATACACATCTAGATGTGTATAAGAGACAGGTGTAAGTGTGTGTGTGCGCGTGTGTGTGTGTGTCTGTGTGCATGTGTGTGTGTGTGCGTGTGTGTAAGCGAGTGTGTTTGTTTTCCTTTTCTTTCTTTCACTTGCAATCAATCGAACAACAGTCAATCAAACAAGGCCTTTTTCTTTTTTGACTTTCAAAAAAGTCATGAAAAACAAAAAAAGCAGGGATGTGGGCCAAGACACCCTGCATCCAAAACAGATGTCAAAAGGAGCAGTCACAAAAGATCTACAACCCCCCTTTTTTTTTTTTTTTTTTAAAGCTATACTTTTCTCTCAATTTCACCTCACACTATCTACCTACCACTACTCCTAATTGTAGGCATACGGGGAACCCCATAGCAGCCAGAACCGTGTTCACGAGAGAACATGTGGGGGCTGCTCCCGACCTGCAGGTGGGCGATATCGGCTAGGGAACAGCCGGTAGCATCAGGAACCATGCCAACAGGACCAATCCCTGTGCCTCCCCTCAGGTCCCCTCCCCTACGAACATCAACAGACTCTGCTCAATGCCGATCGAAGGATCCAGTGGTCTATCTCTAGGTGGCGGGCGCCAAGCATGCCCAGGAAGGTACATGAGGCCGATGGGGATCGAACCCACAAACTCCTGAATGCCACTTGCGAGCCTTACCAACTTAGTTAGGCCACTGGATCCAACCCCTTTTTTTCATGTATACTTGGGACACAAAAGAAAAGTTCCTGGGATAGGAGTCGATGGGGGACCGGACCCACCATGACCGAGCAGTCGTGATTTGACCGCCCGGTCGGGATTTGGCCTCCGATCATGGCCAAGGGAGATTCATAGTGCTCGCTCTGTTAGGTGGACGAATTGCCAGTCCACAGTTGATTATGTTAGGGCGTATCAACAGTCCATATTGACCCATCATTATCTGCATTATCAATTATAGAGCTAAGCAGTTACGACACCGTCATTCGCAGGGTCTGTGTTGCATACTGTAACGTGCAGACCAGAACAAGAACCGACCTTTCAATACAAAGTATAAGATAACACAACGGAAAACCAGTGATCCGAACAATCAATGTTGCAATGCAGCCTTGAACATACATCATCATCATCGTTACATGGTATCAATGGGGCCTGGCGCTTCACACAGGAAGACTGCGCCAGCCCATACCATACACAGACGAAGAGGAAGGGGATACATGAAGAGGAGGGGGAAGATGGGAATGTCGTCAACACCAAGTCTTCGGCACAAGCCCAAATAGTCCCTCGTCGAAATGTCTGAATCCCAAATGTCAAGTCTGGATCCAATGTCGTCAAGTCTCAAGTCACAACTTTGTCGCTCTCTGTCGTAGTCTGAGAAGTCAGGTGGCGAGAAGGTGAGAAGAGAAGGTGGACTTAGAAGAGGAAGAAGAATAACTCTCTTTCTCTCTGTGTCCAGTACTAACCTGTGAAGTTGGCGTCTTGATGTAGGTACCACGAAGATGGAGTTGGAGCGATGGCGCCACAGGTAAGTACCACTGGCCTCCGCCAGTCTCTCTCTCCCACTCTACGATCTACCACCTACCAGCGCCCAGCGCTGAAGACTACAGCTACAGCTATGGCGCCCAACGCCAAAGACTACAGCTAGCATTGAAGACTACTGCAGCGCTCCTCCTGAGTGCTGCGGCCCAAATCCTGAAGACTACCTCGTGCCTACTGAACTACCTACCCGTGAAGTGCATTGGAACTTCCTATGTACTGCCGGGTGTGCCTCCTGAGCCTATCGAAGGGAGGCAGGGGCTGCAGCTGCAGATCCTGCTCAAACTCGTGAGGAACGAGCTATTTCTAGCCTGTTCCGCATCCCTGTTTACGTGCCTGAGTCTTAGGGGCAGGTCGAAACAATGAGGGCCGGAAAATGGCCCTCCGTTTCAGGCTGAAAACTCTGGGTCTGAAAAGACCCAGAAATAGGCTGAAATGGGGTAGGGCCTGCAGGCCCTCGTTTTTCAGCTTTCAGGCTGAAACGAACGGGACCTGTAAGCCCTAAGTTTTAGGCTTTTAGGCTGAATGTCCGGGACGTGCCCTGCAGGGCCCGTGTGGCTACGCAGTATGCCACACCCCCCCTCCTTGAAAAACCGATCTTACCTGCGAGGGCGAAGCTGTCTGTCTGAGGGAGGGACCACAGTCCGGGTGGGAGGGGCTGGTCGTGAAGCTTCCTGAGCTAACCTCCACTTTTCATAATGCGCGTAGATCAGCGGTGCGGATGCTTTCAAATCTGCGTCTGAAATCCACCGAGTGTCGTCGCGATCGCATGCTTTGAATGTGACTTTGTACTGACTCGGCTTGCTGTCGTACTTGGAACGGAGATGACGCGGTCAGCTTCCTGATGGCCGTCCATAGAAGGAGGGTCCTGCGATCGTCGATCCGGAAAGTCGTCGCTCTTTGCTGGCGTGTATGTTGCCAGCTTCAAGGCGTGGAAGACCGGATGGACCGTCAGATGCTCTGGAGTGTTGAACACAAATTAAGGGTCATCGGGCTCATCGCCCGCGGCTGCTGTCACAGACCAAGGTCCAAACCACTTGGGAAGCAGTTTGCGTGAAACATCCTGTTCCAGTGCAAACTCTTCCGCGGAGACCCAAACCAGATCACCGGCGCGGATGGGACATGGTACGCTACGCCTGTTGGCTTGTTGCTGCATGCGGACTTTAGCCTTTTGCATATTTGCGCGGGCTTTAGTCAGCAATTCCCCGTACTTCCGAACGGAAGCGGGAGAGCAGGCAACGTCAATGTCGGCTGGTCGAGAGAGGAGAAGGTCTACGAATATCCGGCCTTTCCGTCCACCGTGGTGCAACTCGAATGGAGTCACGCAGGTCGACGGATGGACCGAAGTGTTGTAGGCGAACTCGATGTCGGGGAGGCGGTCAACCCAATCTTTCTGGTCCGGAGGGATGAGCGTACGAAGCATCATTTGAGCGGTTTGATGTACCCGCTTCGTCTGCTCGTCAGTCTGAGGATGTCGAGCCGAACTTGGTTTCATTGTTGTGTCGGACTCCTACATGAGAGCAGTCCAAAACGCCGACATGAAACGAGTGTCGCAGTCGCTGACAATGTCTTCTGGTACACTGTGGCCACAAATCCAACCAGTGTGCAGGAGGCGTGCCAACTCGGGAGCCGTGGAGTAGTACTTGCAAGGGAGAAAACGCGCGTACTTACTCAATCGGTCCACAACCGTGAGGATGCCGTCGTGCCCGAGACGGTCGCGAGGAAACGGACCGGTGACGTCCATGGCAATGGAGAGACCGGGTTCCCGTGGAATAGGCATCGGATGTAACTCGCCGTAGGGATTGCGGTTGCGGGGCTTGCTGCGTTGACAAACTTCGCAAGAATCGCAATACCGAGTGACATCGGTAATGAGGTCGGGCCATCGGAATCGCTGTCGAAGCCGTGCAATAGTGCGGTTGACTCCAAAATGGCCGACGAGTCGTGAATCATGATACTCGCCGAGGAGGCGAGTCCGAAGACGACGATCGCGTGGGACACATAGTAAGTCCTTGCCTCTCGAGTGGAGGAGCAAGTACCCGTCGGCAATGCGGTAATGGCTGGCCGGCGGGTGATCCGAAGATAGTTGTGCATAGAGCGTGCCGAAGTCCGGATCAGACTGATATGCCCGGATGAAGTGTCGCTGAAGCTCCTCGTCGAATGTGAAGGCATGATGTGTCATCGCGCAAAGATCAGGTCTTCGCGAGAGTGCATCTGCTGCGCGATTGGAGAGGCCGGGGATATGTTTCGGTGTGAAGTCAAATTGGTTGATGAAGTACATCTGTCGTCTGATCATGCTGCTCACCGTGTCCTGCGTCTTGCAGTAGGTCAATGGATTGTTGTCTGTGACCCATGTGAACCTACGACGCCCAAGGAGGAAGTGCCGCCAGCGYTTGAGAGCCATCACGAATGCGAGCACCTCTTCCTTGCATCATCAAGCAAGTTGATGGGAGGCACTTTGTGGCTGAAATACTCCACAGGGTGCCAGTCGTCGCCGTCGTGTTGTTCCAAGACTGCCCCAATGCCATAGCCAATAGCGTCCGTAGTCACTCGCATCAACAGGGTGGGGTCATAGATGCTAAGGACGGGTGCCATGAGCATAGCCGTCTTAAGTGCTTGGAATGACTGGCGTGCGTCGTCATCGAATACGAATGGCACCTTTGGCGACTGTAACCTCTTCATAGGTGCAACAATCCTGGAGTATCCGGTGACGAATCGCTGATAGTAGCCCGCCAACCCCATGAATGAACGAACGTCCGTGGTGTTGGTGGGCTCGGGCCATACTCGTAGGGCCTCGATCTTGTCCGSAAGYGGACGGATGCCTTGCGGCGTCACATAGTGTCCCAAGTACTTCAACTCCTGCTGTGCGAACTCGCACTTGTCGCGGTTTGCTTTGTACTTGGCCTGTCGTAGCCGCTCCAAAACGGTGCGCAGGTGTTCCACAAGCTCGTCCAGACTCCGGCTGTAAACCTGAATGTCGTCGAGGTAGATAAGTACGAAACGATCCAGCATGTGTCGGAACTCCGTCGTCATAGCCGCTTGGAAAGTGGCTGGGGCATTCGTAAGGCCAAATGGCATCGCCATCCATTCAAAATGCCCATACCGTGTCTTAAACGCGGTCTTGTAGCGATCCTCCTTGCGAATCTCGAGTTGGTGGTACCCTGACTTGAGATCCAGCTTAGAGAAGAACTGGACGCCGCCCAATCGCGCGAGAAGGTCGTCGATGCGTAGGAGAGGGCCGGCGTTCCTAATAGTCTACGCGTTGAGCTTGCGATAATCGATGCACAACCGTAGGTCCTTGTTCTTCTTCCGGACGAAGAGAACAGGAACACCGTATGGCGATGAGCTAGGCCAAATCTAGCCTTTCTCTAGAAGGTCGTCGAGTTGTGCCCGAAGCACACTTAACTCTTCCTCGCTCATTCGGTAGATGCAACTGAGCAGAGGTGCGGCCCCATCCTCGAGGCTGATCTCGTGGCCGATGGGTCGATCCGGTACTACTCCGTGCGGGCCTTCGAACACGTCGCTGTAGGCGTCGAGAAGTTCGGTGATGCGTGGATCCGAAGGTGAGTCCGTCGATGAAGCGTCATGGGGAGGGAGGGCGTGGAGAAAACACACCCCCATCTCCTCGATGTCGTCTTTGATGATGGAAGCTCGCATGCTTGCGGCGGATAGCACGTGATAGCTGATCGAAGGATGAGGAAGAGGCACCGTGCATGGAACTAGTACTCCGTTCCGGTCACGAATGTGAACGGTGAGGTTGAAGAAGTGCACCTGGTGATCCTTGCTTCGCAGCCATGACATGCCCAAGATCATGTCGAATTTGGTGTCCAGAATGTCAAAGGACACCGCCTCACTTGCGTGAGGGGCAAAGTACACTGGGACGGCGTCAATGCATCGATCGATGGACTTGTGCGTATGACCGTCTGCCAGAGTGACTTGCGTAGGCTGGGACTTCCTCCGGACACGTGGGCCAAGGCCGGCGCGTACCATGAAGTCCTGGTTGATGTAGTTGCAAGATGCTCCGCAATCGATCACGGCACTGCAGGTCGCCTCTCCGATCTGAATGCGTTCGTATAGCAATGGTGTATCGATGTCGTCGTACCGTTGCGTCTTGAACTCGTGGTCGATCTTCGCGATGTAAACGTGAAGGTCGACAACCTCTACTTCGGCGTCCATCAACGGAGTCGGTACTGCAGTGTGCAAGTAATCTCGCAGTTGTGCCATGAGCACATTGCAATGCGGTTTCGGCAATCGTCCGATCGGTGGAACGGGCATCCACAAGAAGTCCGTGAACGTCAATCGGTCGAGCACCTCAAGTCTTGACCACGACGATGAATCCCCGGCGATAGATGGCGGCAAAGCTGCCAAATCGATTGCCGATGGTGATGAAAATGTGCATGCGGTAGATTGTTGCACGTGGAGCGGTTGGTCCAGCGGTGGAACCAAGTGGACAACATAGTCCTCGTAAGTGTAACGAGAACTTGCGATATTCGCGTTCTCCCCAGATGTGCAGGAGGCCGCTAGCAAGGAGGAATCTGGCGGAGTAGAAGGTGTAGTCGCCTCACCTTGCGCGGAGCTCAGTTTCGCGAGCTGAGGCGGGGTCGCACATCCTCCTTGCCCTGATCCTGGCACAGGGAGGTCTTGTGATTGGTGCTGTTGCACCAATAGCAGCTGCCGTAGCGGCCGCGGACCTTGTACTCCGCCTCGGTCAAGCCAAACTTGACCCATGGAACTTGTACTGGCTGTCCATTTCCTGCCTGCGATGCGGATTTCGCCTTCCCATTGTTGAGGGACTTGTTGTTGCTTCGCGGCTGGACAACAGCCACCTGATCTCCGTCACTTGATGCTGGAGTGGCTGCTGGGTTATCTCCACTGTCCCACTGGACTGCAGCGAAGTGTTGCTGTCGCGGACCACTTCGTACTTTCTCCACATAGGTCGGCTGCCATGGTGACTTCTCGTGTGCAGCTGACCTATTGGTCTTGATGATCTCCCTTGCTTTGTCAATAATCTCGGCAAAGGTTTTGCTCGCGATCACCAAGAGTCTGGCTCAATGAAGCGCAGGACCTGTTGTAGAACTCACGGCGTAGATGCGTGAATGCCAATTCCAGATTGGACACCGCCGCAATCTTCTGCCATTCCGTGAGCCAATCCCGTGTTGCCGTGTTGCCCTGTGACATGGTGAACAGACGGTTGATGGCAAGAGCCGGCGCGTCGTCGACGATGAACCGCTTCTTCCACAGCCGTGTCAGTTCCTCCCATGTGATTTTATCCTTAAAGTCCGGTACGTCGACGCCATGAGAGGTTGCCAGGTGGCTCAACCAGGTCTGGCATCCGCCCTTTGAGTTCACGAACAGGGCGTCGATGTACGCATGGTTGGCTACGGGCAGAATCTAGAGTTGCGTTGTGAATGCTTCCCACCAGAGGACCGGATCCTGATGTGTGTAGTCGTCGAACTTGTCCAGTTGGAAAGTTGGCATCTTGTACATCTTCGGATTCTCATCCGCGTTTGTCGACTGCAGCTGCTGAAACTCGGTCTTCAAGGTATGCAGTTGACTGCTGACGGTGGTTGGCGCAGCAAAGGTGCTGATGTCGCCGAGCATTGCCACTACGTGGTCAACACGTTCCTCCAGTTGGCGGCTAGAGGATGCACTGCTGGAAGCTCCAACATCTTGTCTTGGTGGAACTTGTTCCAAGTCATGTACACGGGCGTCCAGTGCCCGTGTGGCATCCTCGTGCTGAGTCTTTTGGTTCCGCACAGCCCGCTGGAGGTTTGCCAGCTCGGACTGTAGGTGGTTACATGTGTAAACCAACCTGCTCACGAGCTTGGCCATGAACTCCTTATGCTGCTCTTCCGGTGTTGGCTCGTCGCCGTTTGGTTCAAAATGCCARTACTTGAGTTTCTCGATGCTGCTGGCTTCATGCCGCTGCAGCAGAGCCTGGGCTTCCTTGCGGCGAGCCTGGGCATYTRCGTCTGCTTCGGCCTGTAGCCGCAGCTTCTCTGYTGTTGCCGCTTCATCAGCCTGTAGCTGGGCAGCCTTGACTGCCAGCTGGCGTTGTTCCYCAGCCTCGATTGCAGCGAGCTGAGCATGGACACGCTTTTTGTAGTCGGCAATGGGCTCATTGGCCAGTTGGCCTGGCAGGCCCGTCATGTTGCTGATGTGGCACTGCTGACGTGGCACT